GAAAATAAACCATCTGGGTTTGTTCTCTTGGATTGTGACACAACCCACAATTCTAAGGGAATTAAAACATCATTATGTATAGATGGATGTATGTTATTTCATGTGTAAATCTAAATGGTTTCAAATATGTGAAATACAGTAACACAAATACCATTCCTTCCCAGAATCAAATTGAATCATCCCCTAAGAACGGCTCTGACGCGAGATTGTGTTACCGTACAGGAGCCTGCTCCCACGCCTCCAGAGTCCTCTAAACAGCTGGAGAGTAGCTGTGAATGTCACCAGACCCAGTTGCTCTTCCACAAGTGTATGGGGAAGAAGACGACGAAGCACGTAAAACGTGCACGTGAGAAAGCAGTTCGTCTAAATCAAACGGATCGCGGTAAATGGCGGCAGAGGACAGCTTCACCGTTTTCAGAGGATCTACTGTGTTCATAAGAGTACTGAGCTGCACAATGCATTACCTCCCACTGCTTCTTCCATACTGCCTTATGTGAAAATGTGCCAAAATAAATATTAAAAATAGCGTTTCAGTCTATCACTTCCCCAACATAATCATCTGTAGATCTTCCGTACCAAGCACTTAAAATTACATTCAGCCGAGGTAATATCAAAATATATTTTATTCTGGACCTCTTTCAGATCTGATTCAAATTACAGTTGTCAAAGCAATACAATGCAAAGGGAAACTGCAACAGAAAATGTGCCTAGAAGGGATATAAGGGCCTTGGGGACAAATCATTGTGATGTAGAACCAAAATACATCATAAAGTGTAATTAACATGGTCCAGGACAGTATAGAACATCTATATCAGTCTTCTTTAGACAATAATCATGAAAACTGAACAATAAAAGTCCTTTAAACAAGTACAAAAAACTGTCATGGGCTGGTTTACACTTTTACAACAGTTGTAATTTAACTGGATAACTGAAGAAATGATGCAGACATTTTAATCCAGTGCTATAGGTAGGCTCACAGAATTAGACCCAAAGGATTTGTAACTCCAAATGAAACCATTACAACTACAATGTCAATGTCAGGAGAGAGAGAAAATTACTTCTGTATTCTAGAATTACTGTTCTGCACACTGCAGTCTGTTGAGGACAAGATTGCAAAGTACACTGGACTAGCAACAACATGCAGACTGGTTTCTTGTATTTACCCACAAATGTCAAAAAACATTATGAAGTAAAAATGAATGACTATTTAAAAAAGAAAACAAAACAAAAACATGCCTCAAGTTATTGTCAAGCTTCAAACTTAAAGGCAGAGAAAGCGAATTATGTACTCAAAACTACTGATCTGAAGCACTATTAACACTAAATCTGCAATCCGCACGAAACGGCAGATTCTCCTGGTTCGTCTGCCTTCCATCAGACTGACAGTGAAGACAGTCACACTTTCACAGAACGTGGTATCTCAGAGCTTTCTCTAGAGGGAGAAGTGAAGACTGCTCCATGGCTCTCTCCCTATGGAAAATGTCAGGGATCTTGATGGAGATTTACTGCTGTCTCCCGAAGCCATATTTGCTTCTAACATGCCACAATGTTGCTTCTGCTTTCTTCAGACTTCTGGAGAGTGTGAAACTGATCTCACCGGGGAATGGCTCTACAGGACTTTGTGAAGGGAGAAGCTATCGCGCTTGTCAATGAAAAAGGAACACTGGGCTAAATCCGGCAGGCCCTGCTCTGGCAAAGCCCCCACCGACGCCAAGGGAGTCTTGGCTCAAGGGTGATGTGGCTCATTTTACCTCCGCGGCACGCTGTACGGTACTACACAGACCCAACGCTGCCAACGCTTGTTCTGTTCTGGCAAGGTTTTCTCGTGAAGTGAAAGACAATGGGATTTCTGGTTAAGTAAAGATTGGAAAAATCGGGTCCCAAGGCTCCTCTTCGCTAAACAGACAAAAACATACAACCTTTTATTTACAAGCTGAAAAACCCAGTTTGCGATTTTAATGAAACTCCTTCATTCAGCAGAACCAAATGCATCAGCTGCTAAGATTGCTCCGTAGGCAAACTGGCGCGACCGCCCTGTGCCACCTACTATTCTTCCTAAACACAAAGAACATTTCAAGGTACAACATCCCATTAAATACCCTAGCATGAGGTAAGCAGTGTAAGGAAAAAGGAGTGCTTTTAAAAATGAAAATTAATTAAAATTGGTAGAAATCTTTGGCCTTTCTCTCAAGATGCATTAAAGTGTCATGAAATCAAGAAACATGCTTCAAAATGCCATGTCATTCTGACTCTGGTAACTATTACCTCCCTCCACCCAACCCAGAAAAAGAGGCACTTTTAGTGTTTCATATAAGATTTCCAATCATCTAGTAGACACGCTAAATAACCCTGCACAATTGTAGTCCCAGAATAAACTGAGTTTATCAACATTACAAAGAGTCTAAAAAAGCTTTTATGAGGACCTAGATATTCTCTTAACTACACTAAAAAGTCCACTGGTTGGGAATCTTTACATCAATTTAAAATAGCAGAAAAAGTTAAAGTAAAAATAGAAAAAGAGGAACTCTACAGAAACCTGGACCTAATGCAGAAATGAGAAACGGGATTCTGAGATGGATGCACAGAAAGACAGCAAACTCAAGGGCAGTTCATTTCTTATTCCATCATTAATTCTGAGCCCAGTTTTCCCCTTCTTTTTATCCTCTGTTTGGATGTTTGCCCATTACCGTGTTGAACTGGGGAAAATAGGAACTGTAACGTACGCAAAGGCTCATGCACACGTTTGCCTTTATGCTTGGAAAACAGGCGCAACAGAATTACTCGGTATGTCAGACTAAGCATGTGCATACGTTTATACAAAGTTAGGGTCTTACTGACATTTGGAATATTCAATTTAAAGAAACAATTTGGATCGTCTACCTCACTATTGAATACGAGGTCTTTGTGCTATAAAAGATAATAATTAATGTCATGGTTCTCTTTTTCTTGTTTTTCTTTTTGCTTCACATAATCACAGAACCTAGCACACCTTGCATGCATGCATTTAACAGTGTATAAAACAAGAGGCGAGAAGAGGTGTGAGCAGGAGCAGCACTGTGGCATGCTAGTAAAGGACAACAATAAAATATCTATTGGCCAGATCCTTTGCTTTGCTAGTGGAAACCGGCCTCGTTCCACTGCAGTGGGACATTGCTGATTAACACCAGGTTGGGGGTCTCAGCCTGCGCGTCCAGAGCACTTGAGTCAACAGATCTGACGTTCCTGCCGGTCTGTGCTTCAAGCACCTGAAAACCCTGGACCTGTGATACTGAAGCTCTGTTTTATCTATTTCTGAATATGTGATACTATGCTTAAGCAACTAGAATTACAACCAAAACAGCTGATGATTGAGAAAGAGGAAAATGGCAATACCCTAAAACATGGCTGTGTGATTTTGCAGCTATGTCACAGAATTCCACCACAATTGTTTCGATTGGCTGAAAGAATCATCCAATAACTTTTATGAAAATGAATAAACTGTCCATATTAAAATACAAAAGTACTATCAAGAATCACTTCTGACTTTCAGATTTAAATTCAGTGCAATTGACAAATGCATTGCTAAACAAAAAATGCAGCTTAAACATACTCAAAACATTTGTGTCTATTCCTGGGAGCACAGTTTAAAATTATTGCACAGATTTTTTTTTTATTTTTATTTTTTTTTCCATTAAATGACAGAGGTCAGCCACAGTCATGGACCTCCAGCAATAGAAGCAATATTTCAAGTGCCAGACACTCAATATATTAGGTTTCCTACATATTGTAACTCACAGGGTAATTGCTCTAAACATTTGTAATATGTTCCAAAACCCTAAAAATAGCTGGCACCGAACCACCACGGATGACTGTCTTTATGGATATGACTTTTTGTTGGTTTTAAACGCTGTGTATGATAGTATTATAATCCCGGGGTATATATAAAGAATGTATTGTCGACTTCTCTTTACCACTGGCAAATTGCTACCCTACCTTAGCCAAACTCAGACTTGCTTCAAGTCGTGTTTATTCCATGGAAATAGCAGAAATCAATGCCTAAAGAACAATGGTTAAAATGTCAAAGCTGCATTATCTCAATTAAATCAATTTATACCTAACTTGGAGGGGGGGGGAAAAAAACAAAACAAAATAAAAAGTTAGAGACTAGCAATCATAAGCCACAAAATTAGTTGTGATTGAAATAGTGTTATAAAACTGGTAACTTTGCAAAGCTCTGTAATATAAACCATTCCTTATGTAAAATGCCTGTGACATAAATTTGACAACCTCTCTTTTTATAAATTTACACTCTTGGAACCTTATGCAAGACATGATGCAACCTTTTTGACTACACATACGCGTAAACACAACCTCATGCTATCATTTACAAATAAAATCACTATCAGTATACTTTTAATCACATGAGCAGAAAAAGGTTTGCCATATACATCTGTCATTGTAAGAAAAATACTTGATATTGTAAACAGAGTAAAAGACACTATATAGTAGTGATTATTAAAAAAATAGCAGCTTACTTCTACCCTATATTTGGAAAAAATGTAGTCACAAGATACAATAAACTGCAGGACTGGAGCAGCAGGGGAATTAGTGCAAGTATTCATCTTTTAAATAAGCTGAATCACTGCTATTAAAATAAACTTGAAGCAAGTCCTCTGTTTAAGTTTTTTTTTTTAAATCTAAGGTAGTAAACATTTTGCCTCTTAATGGCAGTGTTATCAAATATATGCCAAAGATTTTATTTTAATAAAGAAAAATTACATGAGATACTTTTAATACTGGAGTTTGGTTACAATTATACATCTAAGCTCCTACAAATAATGATGGGCAACTCTCAGAGAAGCTGTGGCATGAACCCTTGTCCAGAAAGATCTTAACCTCTTAAAAACGATCCCCCAGCTTTACTTTGCTCCTTTTCACAATAGTGCACAATTTAACCATATTTCAGCTATGGTCTTAAAGCAACAGAAGATGCATATTTTTTTCCTCTTTTTTTGTCCTTTTTTTCTGTTTTTGCATCCCCGTATTTTTCTTTCTGTATTTTTGTGCCCTTCTGTTCTTAAGTTTGGCAGAATTATGTCCCAAATAAGAAACTACTGCATTTCAGCCATGTCACCAGAAAATAAAACATAGCATTATACCCATTACTGTCATACTTCGTAGATGAGCAGGACGTGAAATCTCACGCCTCAAAGCAGGATTTTTTTTTTTTTTTTCTCTCTCCATAATCCCTTTTTCACCCTCCCCCTGTTCACAGAATTGTGCTCTGGGAGCCACAAAATGTACCAAACATTATCAGGTTCAATCTACCTCTTCAAAGAATGCATTAAAATACGTTTCAAAGAAACATTTTTTTCCAAGGTGAAAAAAATATAAACAAGAAACTAATTCACTCCCTTACTTCATGCATCCGTAAACTTAACCAAAACAAAACAGAAAACCCAATGTTTAAAAGCAAAGAAAAAACTACTGCTGCAGATTTCTGTAAGTCCATTTTCTCTGTACACACAAACTGCTCAACTACTGAGAAGGAAAACAAAAATCCCCCACAATCCATTGTCGTAAATGGATTTAAAGGGGGGAAGGGGTAATGAAGGCTGCCATTAGTATCTTCTGAATTTGGTATGTATATGGGTCTGCTCTTGTATACGGTATATTTTTCTCTCTCTCTCGCTCTCTCTTCTGTTTTTCATATCCAAAACCTTTAAATGTTATTTTGGGGCACAGCAGATTCCAGCACTTGGTGAACAGGATTCACAAGCTGTGACAAAACTCTGTCATCCTCTTCAGGGTGTAATTTTTTTTTTTTCCTCTTTTTTTTATATACAGTATATGTATATATTTCTTTTACGTTTGGCTGTAGTGGACTGGCCATGGTTCAATTGGGACTATAGCAGTACATGGGTCAGGGACAGTCATTTTGGCTATGTACACATTCATAGTCGGTCCATGGCTTCCAACTAGTAGCGCTATTTCCGTAGGTCTAATACACAAACCTATAAGAAAAAGCAAGAAATTGCACATTGCATAACGTTCCACATTTATAGAACTCTCTGAAATATCTGAGCAAAACGTATGAAACACATTGTGCAAGCTTCATCTTGCATCTCTTAACACTAGACTGGGCGGTGGGAAATCACCAGGTGAGCACGTCAGTTATGAGCACCCAGCCAGACCCGCTGCGGGTACCGCTGCCTAACGAATCACTACCCAAACAGCAACGACTAGTTAATGTTCTAGTTCTGTCAGATATAGAAATCTACTAGTAAAACATAATCATATAAAAGGTATGCTTTTAGTCATCAAAGAGTTCAACTGTGCCTCTTATTTGCTTAGTTATTATAATAATAATAATTATTATAATAAGTATATTTAAAACAGGGGATGAGGAAGGCTTTTGCTAGCAAACAATATAAAACAAAATAAACCAAATACTTTTAAAAGAGGAAAAACTAAAGGAAAACAAATTTGTTGCAAGTACAATCAGCCTCTTGGGTCGAATTAACTAAAGACTGGAAAGGTTACGCGGTACATCTATAAAAGGGTCATCTACAGTGGAATGATAGTTTCTACTCAGGATACGCCTTGAGCTTTTGTTCTATTTCGGATATTGTCTATACTTATAAGACTAAAATTAGACCAAAGACCAACAAATTTAATTGTCTAGAGTTTAGCCTACTTAAAATTCAGAACTTCCTGTTTTCTCTTCTGAACGCTACCAAAGCGACTGCGCTTACCAGCATGGAGCGTGCAGGGCAGGAGAGCGCTTTGGCACCTGGTTTAAGATACTGCCTGAGAATGGCCTCCAAAGCTACCAGGATTGCTTTTTACCGACGTTTGTTACTTTAAGCTACAGCACGTCAAAATAGAATTCCTTTATCACTCCTATTTTATTCTATTTTTACTTTTCCCTAGGCTCTCTTCTCCTTTCTTTAAAACCATGGCAAAAGAGATGCAAGCAAAAAAAACAACTATTGTACTTGTTATGAAGACCTGCACGTTAACATTTTACTGCAGGACAATGTCAGAAGAGCTAGGAGGTGATGCTACAGTACGCCACTATGAGATGATAGCGGGTGCGTTCATGGTTAGTTAAACATACTATTTTATTCCCCACTTCTTTAAAGCAATGTAAGCAGACTAGCATTTACATATAGTTCCTGTCATTTTTAGGAACTTCTTGAGTACTCAGAAATGTTTGTTTTGCTGCTCTTGCTGTTGAATGCAGTGCAGAAGATATTTCATTCCCATCATGCATTACAGTAATATCACCAACATTGAACATTTGCACTCAAAAAGAGCAAAGAGGCAAAGATGAAATTGTTTCCAGACTGTAATGAAAAGACCAGCCACAATGAACACTCTTCCATGGAAAGCCCCAGTAGGGACAGAAAATTTAAATTAGAGGCATCTTCACCTTCTGAGGTTTTGGGGGTGTTTAGAACAGTAACACATGAAGCTGGAATAAAGACATATTCTCCTTTCAACGTTATAGCACCCTTATATGTGAAAATCTACATGTGAGCTGGCTGTAATAAACTTCAGCTACAGAAGGAAATTTTGTCTCCACTGTTAGTCAAAAGATTTCCAAAAGATGCTTGTTGCTAGAACATCAAACAAGTAAAGCTGCACTTACTGAACCATCTGAAGCACTTGCTCCAACTTTGTCTCCTGCCGCGTTCCAGCAAACCTCAAAAATCCCTCCTGTTCCCCGATAACTGTGAACTAGGGCACCTGTCTAAAAAGGGACAAAACATGTAATTAATATAACAAAATCCATGCGCACACATAAGATTTGTACAACACGTAAAACTTCCTCACTGCTTTTAAAAGCTGAAATTCTCAGAGGAAATGGTTCAGATGAGACTCGTGGACAATCTCAGCACTGAGTTAAAGGACGTGACACAATTATCGCCTCTCGATCTCTTGTGTTTGACAGGCAAAACCGGGAACGGACATGACTGCTTCCAATTACTAAAATGAGCCTTTCAAAAATTAATATCCAGTTCCCAGTAGCCAGAGATTACATCTTGACGAACAACAAGGTCTTTAGACTTTCATTCGCAATCGGCCCTTTTGTTGCCAGAAATACAAAACAAGTAGTAGTGTCCTTTCTTAGAACGCTATGTAGAAACATTTTGTCCTCACGATCTTCTCTCACTTCACATTTTCTTGTTTTACAGTGAAATTTGAATGTCTACATCCAGTCATCATTTTTCACAGCAAACCTGTTTTATGAGGAGTTTAAAACTCAGAGTTAACAAAGACAATTTTTGGATGCAACATGTTATTGCAGACACTTTGTTGAACATGTTTTGTTGGTGGATTTTTGGTTGGGTTTTTTTTGGTGGCAGACAAGCACTCCAAAGAGTTCTCTTTTGTATGTACATCTAATGTACATCCATTAACAGAACAAAGAGAAAGCGAACCGGCATGTTAGCAAGGGCAAAGCTCTTTGTGGCCAAAACACGATGGAGCAACAAAGGTTGGCAGGGTGCTGATGGAAGCGATCAAAACAAACTTCTAAACAGACAGAAGAGCTATACCTGTGTATTCCAGATGTGTACACATTTATCAAAGGAGCCACTGGCCAGGTACCTGCCATCAGGACTGAAAGCTACACTGTACACAGGTTCTTGATGTTTTGTCAGAGTATGAATACAAATTCCTCTGTCTACATCCCATAACCTAACAGTAGAATCAAAGGATGCACTGTCAAGGGAAAAAACACAGATTAATTACATCTCGATTTGACATATTTTTGTTTCTAATATAAACATAATATGATAAACTCTCCTACATGCTTCAAAACATTCTGTGAGCCTAAATACATAAAAAGTGAAGTAAAAATAACGCTTAACAGGAATTTAAAAACAGGATTAAATAGTACCTTGCTAACATAAGATTGGCATTTGGATTATTTGTTCCTGGTCCTGTAGGACTCCATTTGATAGTATAAATTTCTTTGTTGTGTGCTTGTAAATCATGGACACAACTGTCTTGTTTCATACTCCAGATCTATGATAAAAATGGAACAAAAAAACAAAGACATTTAGCACAATATTGTACTAAAATGCATTTTACATCTTTCTTATTTATCATTTGCAGTCTGATTGCTACCTTTTAGACTACTCAAAATATTTGCTATGACTGCTGAGTTTCTACAGTAATTATTACAAACATTATTGCTGTACCCTCCATTCTCTGACTTATAAGTACCTGATGGGGTTAATGAGTACTAAAGGTACCGTCTATAGAAACCAATCTGGGTGTGCTAACTATATGCACCTTGAAAAGTGCAGGGATTTTAACAGACGCTAAAATGAGAAGAGCAATATGTATATGTTCATGCCTGAGTTGACAAAATATCACAGTCCTATTTTTAAATGACCTTCTTGCTACACAGATTGAGTGAAATAAAGGGGTAGTAGAGAAATTTTCTGTTTTCATACAAAGCCAAAGGTGCATGCTGCAAAAACCATTGTCGCATTTTCCTGGCTTATTAGGATTTGCATTGCCAGGGGTTTGTTCAGTACTTTGTACAAAAGCAGAGTTCAAGGAGTCAACTGCAGGACTCCAACTCCTGCATGATAACCTTCACCAAACAAAATAACTTTATTCTATTACGAGTTTGCATTGCATACAGAAGGGCTTTTAGAAGGCTTTTATATCTTTTCTTAAATGTGAAACTTGATACAGTAGTTAATCAGCTGATGCTTTTTTAAAGATATCTGGTTTAGTAGTGCTTTTAGCTCACCTTTTATTAGAAAAAGTTAACAGAAGCATGCTTGAGCCCAACTGTATTTAAGATGCAATTGAGGTGTATGTTTAAATGAATGACGCTTTTTAGAACTGGTGCCTCACTGAAGGGGAAATTGATTTTCAATCAGCAGACAGAATTAAAATTGTATTTTCAATTTAAATTGATGGGATCAAAATCTAGCTTCTCTTCCCAAAACTAGTATAAATGAAAAGAGTCCATATTAGCTGCCCTAGAGAATATCAAGTTGGCATCAAAACAGAGAATAAATAGATCAGTAGGCATCTTCTGCATGCTTCAAAACTTGATATTCGTTCCTACTGCCACTGAAAAGTAAGTGATCCACAAGTGATCAGTGATGTGTAGACTTATCTACAAGCAATTAGTCTTCCAGTTAATCCTGAACAAAATGATATAATTCTTTCCAGCCTGGGCTGAATTCAAAACAGCAACCGAGTAGTTAATTGCCTGAGTCCACAAATGGTAACATGTTCCCAGTCCTCACCTCTCTACTGGCTGAGAGGCAGCAGCAACAGCTTGACCTCTCAACTGGAATTCATCTCACCTGAGTTTCAGCTGCCTCAGTATTACACACCAGCTTCAGCTGGCTATTTTGACTCCATCCATTGCCAATGGAGAACGACCAATGCTCTTGGGGGTTTACTCACTACACTTGACTTAAGACACTTAGGAAGGGATGAATTGCTCTTCGGTGGTGCTAGGCACCCTGTTGACTAAAGATGTCTAGCTTTAGACTGGAGGCTTACTCCTTAAATGTTTATATTTAGATAAAGTGATGTCCATTGCAAGCACCTGACTGCGTGCCAGCACAGGAGGGGATACTGGATACCCATGCAGCCACTCCCTGTCTCTGATTAAACAGCGATGAGCTAGATGGAAATAACTGCCCCTAGCAGGACAGCGCTATAAACCGTATCCTGAAACTCTACTAAACATAGTGGTAAATACCCACTAAATACAAAGCAATACAGGAGTAATGGAAAAGCATCTGTACCATGGAAACAGCACAGACCTGTCAGGCACGAACCACCTCATTTCTTCTAGTGCATCTAACCTGGTGGTATTTTTGTATGAATCTCTAGTGTGCCTTGAAGTCATATGTATAAGTTACAGTGTCCTCTGCATTCACAGGTTTGCCCCAGTTCTACAAGAAAGCATGTTGCTATGAATTATTTGGAGGAAAAGTGCAGGTGCAATTGAAAGCTGCAGAATGACTCCTGTTGAACTGGAAAAACCAAGGAGTACTCTTCAGAAACAACATGCCGAAGATTTTAGCTAGAAAGGAGGAGAAAACCAGGAAGGGAGCTAGTCACCCATTCTTGTATGTGTTACACAACATGCATTCCAACTCTTACTTTCAACCAAAGGCAACCATCAAGTGTGGCAGCTTAATGTTTAATGACCTGATTCTGTAAACAGCTAAAAGTACCTAATAAATCATGCTCCAAGTCTCAGAGTGGCAGCCTGTAACAAGTTCTCTGGACCAAAGCTTGGCTCTGATTAACAAGGATTTGCTAGGATTGCCTAATCTTGTTATATTAAAAAAGAACAAATATTGGACCACACGGGAAATACAGTGATAGACAGTGTTGGATTGCCCGAGCGAATGGTGTGTGCTGCAGAGTCCTACACAGACAAGAGCCAGTACCAGAACTCCCATTACCTTTAGAGTCATATCATCAGAGCAGGATGCCAGAAGATTACCAGTTGGATCCCATTTGATTGCGTTTACTTCATTCTAAAATTGAACAGTGAGAATAAATTGGAGTCTTCACTTCCATTACAAATGACAGCTTACGAAAGATAAAGTTGGACAGAAGTTATGAGTATTTGTATAATTGTCAGTATTTTAACATTTAATTTTTCATTCCTAGCTTTGCTTTCAATAACAACAACGTTTTGCTACTTGTTCATCACGTTTTCCCGTGCATGCTCTTACACAACACAGGCTGTGCATGGCAAAGAAAGTTACTTAAAGTTCTTCTTCTAAAGCTCACTTTCGCTGTGCCAAAGACCAACCATTACTTAAGTGCTGTACACTGGCAAATATACTGGGCCCCCGATCTCTCATTAATAAAAACATTTTATAGCATCCCCCAATTTTCCAGTACTTACTGTGTGACCCTGGAAGGTTTTGATGGGCCTATCTTGTCCCAGTTTACAGACATGAATACACATGTCTGTACTGCAAGAGGCAAATGTGTTGTTACTCTGCCAATCAACATCTAATGCTGGTGCTAAAAGAAAAAGAAAGATATTTAAAACTATGGTATGTATTTTGCAGGAGTTTGATTTGCAAATTTAGCGTGTACCACCTTAGAAGAAATGCCAACAGGAAGCAACCATTAATTTTACAGCAGTTCTAAAGCTAAAACACTATGAACAGTGCGAAATGCAGCCAAAACCAGTCTTACACAAAGACATGAAACAAAATTTAATAGAAGTAATTAAAACGTGGACCATATCTGAAATGAAACAGTTATACAGAAGACAGTGCAGCAGGACAAGCAGCTCTAGTTAAGTCATCTATAAATAAACCTCAGCATGAGGAACAGGTTGGTACAACTTAACACATCGTCATGCATGAGCTCGTCTCCACTAACAGTCCGTGCTTGTGCTGATAGATGGCAGCCAGCAAAAGGTAATGATTTATTTCCTTTCTTAATTCCAGCATTGTAAGGTGTGGTAACTTGAAGCTTAATCATGGGCAACATATTCCATTTGATCAAGCCAAGATATTTATGGCAGATAGCACACAGAATTGCTTGGAGCGTATCAAGAATTGATGTTTTTGATTGTTGTCATGCCACTGAAAAACGTAGTGCGAGCAGAATAAAAAAGTGGAAACGAGACACATTTCTTAAAGGCCCTTCAATGACAAGTTCGTCATCCTCTCTAGTCTATTTTCCAGCTGATTCTGGCAGGCTTGCACAGCATGCAGCCCACAAAGCAATTTGTCTGACCTCCTGAGAGGCTGCACGCTCATCCCAGCTGGCCAGCGAACAGCCTTTCAGCTGGTTTGTGGCCAAACAAATTGGGGACAGCACAGCGGGCAGCGCAGAACAATGGGATGCGGAGCTGGGATTACTGTAGCAGGAAGATGACAAATGCAGTCCTTAGCTGATAAACACAAATCCTTCGTGGCCCGCCCACTTGATTTGTCTGCTACTGTACTACAGAAAGTCGGTAATATTTGGATTATCTCTTACGACTTTCATAGAACTGCAATAAAATTGAGAGTTATAAAGTTATAAAATTAGAACGATTCTATCTTTATTTACATTCTCAAAATTCAGAAGACTACAAATATGGGAGTCAGTATCCAAAGACTGCCTGTAAGACTTTAAAATGGTGTAAATAAGCACCATAAACTTCAGGGTTTTTATTTATTTTAATAACTAACACTTTTTTAGTCTTTTCAGAAGACAATCCTGAACGATCAAAATCAAGACTTACCAGAATGAAAAGGAAACTGCTGCTTGGCTTCGCCAGTGTGGGCATCCCAAATAATTGTGGTCTGTATTAAACAGATAAATACACAATAAACGAATTTGTACAAATTACGGATTTCCCCACAGCTGCCACCATTCACATGTATCAGACTACCTAGCCTACTCCCCATAGCCCAGAACTGCTCCCAGTTATGTATTTCTAGTGTTTCACCCAGTACTGAAGGAAATTGTAGATGTACAGACAACAGTGGAGAACCTTAACCTGTTGTGATATTAGAAAGGTGTTTATCAGAACATCTTGGGGCCTCGAAGGAAGGAGGGCGTTGTGGGCTTTTCTTTTTTATAAACAAAAATTAAATAGATTTATCTCCCTAGTCCTATTTATATTCTTGTAATCTACTCCACATACCTATTTTAACTTCAAATACTTGTATATTCAAAATGAAATTTCAAATACTCAGTTGTCCCTAAGGAGATCTTTATATAAATAAGTAGTCTTGTAGTTAGAAATCTGAAAGATTTGATTTAAGGGTGTAATTTTGTTCCAAGTTCTTCTCTGCCAATACTTCCGACATCTTCCTGATGAAAGAAATCTTACATGACAAAATTAGTATTTTATAATCACTATATTCTATGCCGACATTCCTGACCTACCTTAATGATTAATGAAAATTTTGACATAGGATTTGGTGGAAGCATGAACTGACCACACAAATTATTTATGGAAAAGAAGCGTAAGGTTGAGTCAATCTTTCTGCTAATGCAGAATATTTTTCAAAGCATAATCTCAGTTGCTTTATCCAAGGAGTTTTATTGACTGAAACAACGAGGCTTCTATCTCCTTCAGAATATTTTTCTGCAAATTAAATTTGTACCTCCACAAAGATTTAAAAACTGGCATAAGCCATTAAAGCTGCCAAAAGAAGAAACCCATCCTTTCCGTGCTTGGAGATATTTACTTTTCCTTCCTTTGTGCCAGCACATGCATTTATAAAGCTGGGCACTAGAGCAAACCAGGTTAAATGTGTGCAGGAAAAAAATAATAAATAAAGGAGAAAATCTACTACTTTACAGTGACACTGCCAGTTTTAAGTATTGTGGGCCTGTGGTCTTACTGAGCTTGCAGTTTGCCAGTCTCACTAAGAGAATAACTGTGTTTACTTCTCCACCTTGAATCAGTTACAGAGGAAAAATAAACTCTTCTTACTCTTTGAATAGTCTATTCTATTCTATTCTCATCTTAAGTCTATTCTTTATCACTATGTGTCCTTCCTACCATTCATAAAACCACACTAACAACAGCTTTGAATTTAAAGACCTCGTGTGCCTTTACGTTTGTTTAGAGATGTGAAATAAAACATAGTTAAACAATGAGCTTTACATGGCTTTACACTACTGGCACCTCCCCAGTCAAATATGTTGACTTTTCTTATGTTCCAGCTCTAAACTTTTGAGTCATTCTTAGGCTTGACTGATATCCAAATCAGCCTGAACCTATTCCTCCAGTATGGTTTTTTTCCTCAGGCTTTGCATAAAGTGCTTCACTAAATTTTAGATTATTCAGTTTTACAAAATTTTAATGTTCCTGTGTTCAACGTGCTTACTTTCCAACTTACGCTAAACTAATTGGGAAGAGATCCAGGGAAACTGAAATATAATACATGAAAATATCTCAATAAACTACTATAAACCACAAGGAAACTAGCTAGTATAACATGTTCTTCGTAAGTGCATATGGATGTCCCATGCCTTTAGTTTCATTTACTTACTTTCTATAGCTTTGCTATTATGCTTACAATTAGATTATAACGGTGAAGGAAAGAATTTTAATTTTACCAAAGATTATCTCACCTTGTCCACTCCTGCACTTAAAATGAAGTTTCCTTTCTTGTTCCATTTTAACGCAAATATAGGACCTTTATGTTGCCCTAAGGTGCTGGCAAGATTACCTGAAAATTTATATTGATATGAATACATTAAAAAAATAAAAAACTATGCTGTGAGCCACAATACAGGAAAATATACTGGAAATTAAAAGTATTTCACTTACCATCTTTAGTCCATATCCTTGCAAAGCCATCGTAAGACCCAGTTGCTAGAAGTGTACCTTCACTCTGCCAGCAAAAAAATTGTTTTATTTATTTATTTTGACTGTATAACTCAAAGCTAAAGAGCACAGAGCAAATTTCAGGTAGAATACATCTACATAAGATTTATGATATTTATTCCATTGACTACAACTTATTGAAAAGTTGTCCCCGAAGTACAATACAAGAAGTACAATGCAACTCAAAACCAGAAATATTTCAGCAGCCGTAGCAGAGGATGCACAGTTGCTGTCACTTAAAATTTGACTATGCAAAATTACAGGTACAATTTTCTCGGAGTATTTTGAGCGCTGCCATTTCTACTTACGTTCCAATCCAGTGATGTCACATCTTTGTTGCTGGGTACATCCTGCCCTCCTTCTCGTATACAGTGTCGAAGTACCAGCTGCGTAGACCCACTCGTGCTGTTTTCGCTGAGGTTCCATATCCGTGCTGTCGAATCTCCAGATCTACAAAACAGTTAGTGAGAATATAACCCCTTCTCTCAATTAAGTCCATTTAAAAAGGTATTCCTTTCAAGACAACAACCATTGTGGCATTTGATGGAGAGGGTGTTAGGGCAGGTATTATTTGAAGTTGTTACCATCAACATACACAAGTATGCCAAAGAACATTTATATTACGTACATAAATGGTTAATGCACATACCCTGAGGCCAAAAGGTCACTAACGGGATTCCAGGCACAGATGAATACTTCAGACTCATGGCCACGCAGCACCACTGCCTTGTTGGGAGGGATTTCAACATCTCCATCTACTTCCATCATATCTGTGTGATTATCTGTATTATGAGAAGCAACAGTAGAGAGAGGTGGATTTTAATATTTTGAGACAACACATTGTAACTACTGTGCGGTTCATATTCTTCTGGGATGAGCACAACAATTAATTCACAATTTACTGGATCAAAATTTGATGAAGCTCAAATGTCCTTTTATTTTTCCAGTTCCAATTTATGAAGTACTATAAACAGATGGGGAGTTTCAAAAATGTGAGAAAGCTCTTAGCCCTTCTAAACCTCAGCATCCAAATGGATTTAATTTTGAAACTTCAAAATTGAGGCCAAAGTTCTTTTTTTTTTGCTATGTTAAGACATAAACGCTGATGTTAAAAGCAGTCACAGTTCTTCAGGCATGATACTGCATAGTACAATATGTTACTAGTCTATGTTGTGCTTTAAAAATACATTTATAACACATTCCTTTTTATGAAATCTCTCTTTTCACCCATTGCAGTCAAGCAAGTTTTAAATCTACATATCAGACACTTCATTTACAAAATGGCTTTAATTAATATAATAACATTTGGTGATACAGTAAACTGATATGAGATCTTTTTAAACTGCACTGGCAATTACGATGGAATTGTGGCAATACATAGCTTTCTGTGTGGAAGTGATGTTGAATCCATATTGTTCTGTAAAACATACTGGGGCTAATTCAACTGACAAAACAGTTTTCTTGGCATCTACCATCAATCATTTTCTATTATTAACAATAAATTCACACTGCCTGTAAATGCAGAATACAAAAAATGCTGAACAGTTTACCTGCTCCGTATTTATTCGCATCTATTGCTTAATTTAAAATTAAGGGTTTCTGTCACTGTTTGTACATGTGAGAAAACAGAAAAGGCTATTAGAACTGGCATATTTTTAAGAAAGAGCACCATATAAAACACTGCTTCAATTAAAGAGAATCAATGCCAGTATAATTTGGTGTACCAGCCAGTAGGGGTTGCTGGTATATCACATTTAACAGTGGCCGAGATCTGAAGTTTATGCTTATTCTATCCAGTTCACAGTTAACAAGTAAATATTCTTTTGAGATTTTTAAATGAAACCATCAAAGTAGAGAGCTTATTTGTTTAAGCTAAAGATTACATCTCCAGTTTATTTATCATATATAATAATAAAAAAACCCTAGTAAAATCCAGCTGTAAAATACAAAACTTGTACATGGCTCGACAGGAATATTTTCTCAAAAATGTCTTTCCTTCAGGTGCTTTTACAGCAAAAGCTGTAACTCCCCCTCTCAAATGTGTAATTCAGACTACCAGAACAATATTTTCATAATCACATTTTAATCCCTGATCTGAACTTTTCTATACTAAGCCTAATTGTAAGGTATGTGATGACAAATAAAACCCACTTGTTTCACCAATCACAACTAAAATGGAACCAATGAATAAACCAAACCTGCAAGCAGTTGCATCGAGTAATTCTGAATAGCAAATAATGAAAACTGATGGTGATAAAGGAGACAAATGACACTGTCTCAGTAACCATGATGTTCTCAGCACGACAAGGAAGTCTGTCCTACAGAGAGCCGGTCACAGCTCTCTGATTCACGGGGTTAACAGACCCTGTCACAAGTAGTTGCGGAGCTTCACAAGCAATGCCCAGTTTTAACCAGCTGCGGATTAGCAGCTCCTCTCCTTATTACTTGTACAGGGGTCAAAGCTGAGGGGATGCAATATTTAAAAAGTTGTCTCTGATTTTTTTCACCCTCTTTCTGCAACAGCTCTCAGGGGGTCCTGTGAAAAACCTTCCAATGATGGGAAAGGAGCAGTACCGAAGTGAGACGGGCCGGTGGAATATTGTGCATTAATGAATTCAGAAGTTTGTATCTCCTCCTGCAATTCCAAATATCAAACTGGGGGCAATCAGAGGTGAGGCACCATCTATTAAAGTATCACCTATGACCAAGGTGTTCTCTGCAAGCTGAAGGGTTACTAGTACATCTACACATTCACCTCATTGTCTACGAGCTCATACTATGATAAATGACATGGAAATGACGTTAACGTAGGTTGAGGTCATTTCTGTCTCAACTTACTTGCTATAGTATGTGCTCCATTCTCTTCTCCATTTGCAGTATTTTCTCCATTTTTCGCTGATCCCTGTTGGTTAGTCGCGGCTGCAGCTGCAGCAGCTGCTGCCTGCTGTTGTGCAAGTTTATCTCTGTAGGCCTGTTGTCTTGTCTGTACCACATCAGGCATTACTGCATCTATCAGTGAGAGAGACTCTATCGGCCTACCATCAAACAAGGTACCATCCTAAATTACAGCAGAAGGAGAAGACAAAAAAAAGACAACACCAAGTACAAGTTAACATTATGGGCAACAATTCCAAGGAAAACTAAAGCAAAAGTTTTGATTTAATCTAATAAAACAGTTTACAAGTGGTACTGGATGTGATATCTCATCATTGTTGAGGCTGGGATTGGAATCTTAGTCTAAAGTTAAGTGGCCACCATAACTATGCAACAAAAGCCACCGCAGGCCTCTGGCAGAGCTTCTAGAATCAAGTTCTATGCTTCGAGTTTGCTAAATCGTCTGCTAAAGCAGAAAATTCTGTAAGCTATCTATGAATATGATTTCAAACATGAGTGGCTGCAACAAAATCTAATGGTTTGTTTGAAGAGCTGCAAACATTGCAAGTCGGGTCACTGGCTTGTGAAGTTATTCTATCTTATTAGACTAATACTTTCCATAAACATATTATCCGGAGAGTTGACTAGTTTTCTTCCTTTTTTTAAACAGTGCTGGCATGCTTTCAAACAACACGGAAGAATTTTATCCTGAAATGGACAAGACCCAGTTAAAAATACCCGTATACATATGCTAAGGCTTTGTAAGGATCTATTTTTAGGAGCTAGAAGGATTCCTTGTGATAAATATAGGGTCTCCTTCTTCTGTTCCAATCACTTGCTTTATTTTTCTGAGGCTTCCTAAGGGAAAGGATTTGCTTCACTGGGACTATGAAAACTACACATAAACAGAGGACGTAAGGGAGACTGGAAAGAGAGCAGAATTAGTGAAAAAAATTGTTTCCTTCTACAATATAACTGACACATACAAAGGCTGCTAACCTTCCAGGCATAAATGAGAATGGAAATTGAGGGTATCTGCAGCATCAGGCAGGAAGATACATTGCTTTCTGTACTGCTGGAATAACCATTTAAACATCAAACGTAATAGATCCTGCTCAAGATGAATTAGCCAGCAGAGGCGAAAAGCAAACTGGCATATACCTTCATCCTTCCTGCCACAAATTGAAACCCTCTCTATTTGGAAACCTTGCCCTTGGGCTCTCATTACTTCATTATAACGACACATCACCCAAGCGAGAGCTGCATAGTGCTCTCTCACCTCCTTAGTGCAAGTCTACACAAACAAAAATTAAGAGGTTACTTGTCTCAACGATTATCTTATTGCACTTGTCTGGATTTACTACAACATTATATTAGGGTAAAAACTCTACAGACAACGGACCTTTAAGCAATGAGCCAGAACACCATGCCTGGTGTTGTGTGGCTGCACTGGGCAGAACCCCTACCCAGTTATGTCACTCCATTCTGGTTCCACCACTGGAGTCATGGTGAACACCAGCAATAAGGAATCTGAAGTAAAAGTAAATAAATAGGATACAAGAAAGTTAAGAAAAAATACTAACATTCAAACTTACTGCAAGCATGGACATACTGCTCCTGCAGGCAAAGCCTCCTTACCTCATTAATACTGACTTCTGCCTCTACATACTGCAGACCTTTCTGGATGATGGAAATCAAAGCAGCTGGTGGCACCAGAGCACCATTTATATTAGATTGGCTGATATGGCTCTCTATACCAAAGGTAAATGCTGAATGGGAAAACCCTAAAGACAAGGCAAAAACATCAGAATTGATTTATAGATAGACAACGCTACTTGCCATACTGCTGTAGCAACTTCTTGTTACAAACCTAAGCAAATTACACGAAGTTATAGCATGCTAATGAACTACAAAAAACCTCATCAAAACACTTCTGTTGTTTCTCTCTCATGTTTCCAGTTAAAATGTACAAAAAGACAAAAATGAAGTTGATATATAAACACAACAATTATTAATTACAGTATCATTGGCAAAACATTTGTGCATGAGTAAATATAAAGATATAAAATAAACAATTTGCAATAGAATTTATATATATTTATATATTCTAAAAAAATATATATATAAAAATATATAGTATTTAATAAAATATGTATGTCCAAGACTCACTTGTTATTTTTACTCACTGATTTGCTACCCATGAAAGTAAAATGGATGTGTGTAGAACAGAGTTCACTTCATGGTACAGTGCTGTCATAATTGTGTGTGTTTTGGCACTTAGAACTACATCAGCATTGTGCACTGGTTAAGCAGCAGCAAGCATGTTATGGTGCAGCACTAGTAGTTGCTTGTTATTTATTTGATCGCCCTGAAAAGGCAAATTTAAACTATAGAAAAACAGTTGTTTCAGCAAATTAACTTTACTGTGGCCAAATGTTTTCTTAAACTTTTTTTTTCCCCCTGTAAGGTAACCAGGAAGCTGCCTGCAAACTTTCAGATGAAGATAAGGCAATTTTGTAAGTTTGGCTTCTGTGACAAAAGCAATCTGCAACTGGAGTAAGAACATATAATAGTTTTCAGTAAATTCAGGCAGAACAATGAATTTCTACTTTCTTCTGACAAGCAGAGACTGAAAAACTCTGCCATTCACCACTGCTTCTGGCGCTTCTTTGTCTCAATTTGAGAAGTCCATCAGCAGTGGACATAAGCAGTAGACAGGTGTTCCATCAGCCAAAGGTATTTTCAAGAAGCCTGAAGTTTGTTTTCAGGTTTGACAATATTAATCCGCCTTTTGCTCTTCCTTCTAAGAAGCAGTAGGCTTTGGGCTAGCCTAACACCGAAGGGCAAAATCCTCCAAGAAAGCGTCCTGCAGGGAGGGAGGCTTTTGAGAACCCGAGGGTCATTCCTGTAAAAAATCTGTGTATCTGTATTTAGATTCAAATGATACGTATCACATGGTCACAGTTGCCACTTCTTCCTTTGAAATACAGCAACATCTGCCCTCCTTCCACAGTCATGTTCAGGCAAGGAATTTGGCCATGCAAAACCAGTTCACAGGAGCACCATCATTCCAAGACAGATCAGGAAAAAAACAGTATTTTGGTGGTCATCCTTTTTTCTTCTTCAAGTAGCCCCAAAGAAAATGGTGCAAAGTGCCATCGTCACCCTGTAGATAAAAGGGATCTCCAGGAAAATGCATTTCTAGCAATCAAGTGAGTCCTTAGTTGGTTGACTGCCATCTGAAGACTCCAAATGACTACATCTGATTAAGTTACAGAAGGTAACTTGGCAGGAATTCATTCTCTTATTGAGAAGAAACACCAAGAAACAGTTCAGACAGAAGCACATGCCTACTGGCAAAATAATTAAATGAGTCTGCATTTGCTAAAGCCAGTTGCAGATGAATAGCAAATAAATTATGCATTGTTTAACAACCAGAATTGAAAAAACTCACCTGACTCTTGCAAGTATCTATATACCAGGAAGTTAACCTCATCACTGCTTATACTCATCTTTATTCCCAGTTAAACCATGAGGTCACAACAAAGGACACAACCCTGAAAATAAAAAAGTAGGTCAATTAAATATTTTCAGTACCTAATATGTATTTCTCAACAAATGCTATATTTATAAAGTAAGTAGCTCCCTGGCAGCACAGACAATGGTTTTATTTTATAATGCAAATAAGTCTACCATAGTCATTAAAAAGTCATTTGTCTCACCACAACATAAAGGTCAGTAAATTAAATATTGAAAGCCTGGATTCTCAAATGATGCAAATTGGTATGGACTGGGGAACTATGCTGCTTAATACCAGTATTAAAAAGGCCTAATTTCACAGGTTTTTAAAAAATAATCAAGTGAGTTTCATCGCATCAACATTATTGGTACGGAACACATTTTTCAAAATGTGGATTTCTCTCTGTCTGGCTCACAGAGACAGAGAACTTGGTTTCACGTTGGTACCCAGGCAAGTTCTCTCTTTTACCTTCTAATCTACTTCAATTTTCAGGTACTCCTGCTCTAGTAAAAAGGTGAAATATGGGCTACAACACTGTATCTGTGCAAAGAAAGCCCAACTATTTCCACTAAAAATTAGAAAACATCTCAGCCATACACTCACGCTTCGCAAAAGGAATTCTTTAGAGACCAACTTTAAACAGAGCATTTTTAGTAACATTTCTTTATGCTTTTAATCAATGCTTTAAAATATATATAGACACCATCTCCCCTTGATTTTATTAATAAGTATTTAGCAAGACAAATAATGTATCAGACTATCATAGGATTGATCACAAATTTTGAAAATATGAAGCAACAAGAGTCTTTAAGACATGAAGACAAAGAGACAGAATACAGTATTTTTTTCCAACTTTAAGCCTCATTCTTGAGAGCATTCTCATGACGTTTTAATGTTTGAAAATTAAAATCCTGATCTTTCCATGACATCAAGTAAACATAAAAAATCAGCTTCCAGAACAGAGTATGAAATAAGGTCCATCTCCTATTCCCGGTATCGACCCAAGACTTCTCATCAGCAAACCTTCAGGCTTTTTACCCAGCTGCCACTATCATTTTGACAAAGTTTGACTTGCATGTCATGTAAAAAAAAAAAAAAAACAGAAAAAAATCACTGGAGAACACGTTTTCTTGTATTGTTTAAAAGAAAAGGTTCTTGCTACATGGCGGTATGGTCAGGCCATTCACCACTGGTGCTCCATGTGGGAAAGCGGTGAAAACAGCAGTAAGCAACAACTAAAAGATTATGATTAGCATTATAAGGCTGCCATACATATTCTTTCTAGGAATCTTTTCCTAGCAAGATTTCCCAAAGAAATAGGGCAAAATTACCATGCTTCCTTATCATCTAACTTGCGAATTCTACCAGTCAATTGCAACCAAGTGTCAAGAGCTCTGCAAGATGCTAAAAGTCCCATAATACCATAGAGGAAAGACCCAATTAAACTCCTCCAGGAGAGGAGAGGAGAGGCTACCGGACAAACTTCGACATCAAAAGGAGTGTGTTTGCCTGAAACCACACACGAACCCTGGTGAGTTGATGAGCACATGGACAACCCCAAACCCATCCCAGCCACATGGCCACCAGCCCAACTAACAGCCGGGGGTGGGAGGGAGGGCGGCACTCACTGCCCGCTCAGTTTGGAGAGGGCAGCGGAAAAATGACACAGCCCAAGAAGTGTGCAGGGAGGACTCTGACCCAGCTGGGCCAGCAGGACCCGAGTGGGAGAGACAGGGTTATCCTGCAAGGGAAACGGGGGGCTGTACACGATGCAGGACGTGTCCGCAGAAACCCAGATCTCGTGCTTATAGAGCAGCCCAAGCACACTGCATGGCCGAAGCGGGGAACATGGGTTTAGTTTCTTAAGGAAATAAATAAAAATGGGGAGCTGCTTACATCCTTCTCATTTCTAAAGGAAAAAAATAATTGTTCCAGTACAATAACTTCTAGTTAGCGCAACACAACTTGTAAAGGCACACTGATACTAACCCTACCTCACCCATCCGCAGCCCCCAGCGATGCCTGGCATACACAGCATACCTGCCAAATTACAATATACTTTGAGGGTTCATTTTATCAAGCAGTGTATGAAATGAATGTCATTTTTAGCCATTCCATGCGTTAGCAACCAATTCTACCATGTGCAGGACCAAACACTAGTTTCATTCAGCTACGTTTTGTTGTCATACCCGGTGCAAATCATCTTTATTTAAGACTGCTAGTTACAGAGGAGTTCTGTAGGAAGAGGAACAATACTCTCCTTCAGAAAAAAAAGGTAATTAAATTCACAAGGAGTTGTAAAGAAGCCTTTTTACATTACATACACAATCAATCGTAGTATTTGTTTCATGGGTCTGTTAAGGATTTTTAGAAATCTTGCTGCATCAACCAAAGAGATAGCTCAAAATGAAGAAATCAGCTCAAAGTACTATTTGCTACATGGAGACAACCTGCATTAGCAATATAAAGAAGGCTCCCCACTTAACGCAGAATTGTGGAAATGACACACAAATTCACCTGCTATGTAGCTGGATAGCTAAAGAAAAAAACCTAACATCTTGCTCATCTGTCAAAAGTGTTATTAACCCTGCCCTTCATTTTTCAAGGCTGGTTCAAAGTGTTTTCCACAAGCTGCTTTGGTAAGTAAGGACAAGTACCGCTACATGCTGTCCTGCCCGGCTATCAAGAGATGGCAGTGCAACACCGGCTTTTGTACCATAACAACTACAAAAACACAGAAATGCGGGTCAATAAATACACAGCTTGCCTGATGAGGACCGGAAACTGAAATGGGTGCAAAAGGTTCCAATATTTTACCAAGATTATTGCTTTATCCTTTTTTTCCGTGCTTATTTAAATTATCTGAAAACTTGTTTCTGTATTTACCCCCCATCACAGGCCCAGCGCCTCAGCCAGCACCCCGGGGACAACCCTCACCCGGCTATCACACAGCCAAGAAAGAAGCGAGGAATTGTGAGAAGAACAAGGAACACCAAACCACCCTCCTTCCCATCCCAAAAGAAAACTATCCCATTAAAGAGAAAACACAGCAGAAGTACAGATCGGAGAGGACGCAATAATTATTTCCCTTTGACAAAATTTGAATCGATACCAGGATTATGGTGCCCATCCTCAAAACCAGGGGCGAAGCCGTACACACCCCAGCAACGCGGCCACCTCCAGCCGCAGGAGCAGACTTTGCAGAGAGCTGAAGAAGTGGCTCTGAGCTGCGTAAACCCCATTGCACGTGATGGGGAAGCGGCTGCTGTTTCCAGCCCCAGGAGCTGTGCTGCCTCCCTCCTTCTCGCTCATAGATTCCTGGGAAGGAACCAGCAGGAATTTTTTTCAGCTGCAGCGAGGGGAGGACGGCGAAAAGGAGCAGAGGTGGGATGAAGGAGGAACCCACCATCCCCAAAGCCACCATCCATGTTGCTCTCAGGGCTCAATGTACACAGCAACCCCCTCGCTTCAAGCTGAAGTTACAACTTGCTAAGGATGTCTGCCAAAGAGATGGGAAAGAAAATAAACTCGCTAACCTATGAACCACATGAACTCCATTCTCCCTAATGGCCCAATATGGCCCCAGGGCTTGTTTGGGAGGTGACAGAGAAGATTTCTTAAAAGTGGCGTCATGTAAATGGAAACGGAAACATGATTAGAGGAGGAAAGGCTGAAAAGAAGAAAATTAGAAGAGAAAAAAACAAATTTATGTATGCACCCATGCATGTACGTACATACCCCACATACTAACAAGTCTGCTTTATTGCTGGTTTATTTCCACCAAATCCACCATTTCCACGTGCAGTCAATTACTTATTTTGGACACTTAATAGATATTAATACTGCTCTTTATTTTAGATACAGCAATTAAATAACTGAAAAGACACAGAAAAATGAGCCAAAAATAAGTAGAAATGACACATAATTCCTCCCAGTCTTAGATTTCTAGCCTAATTTGCAAAGGGCCCATTAAAAATATCTCATGGTATTTGCACCTGTATGTCCCAAATTCATTCTGAAAATGTAACAAGATCCTTGAGGCCCTTTTTCCTGTCCTGTATAAAAATTCCAAGTCTTCCTCAAAACATTCTGTGGACTTACAGGAAATACGGCAAAGTACAATGCACCCACACAACTGTTTTAGGTCCAAGTGTGCTTTTAAAGGGAATCTCTCCCGCTTGCCCCTAATTTTGTTTTTGCACCTTGGAGCAGTCACAGTGCATGTGAAATAGATTCCTTACTGGTAACACTAGGATTAAATAAAAAAAAAAAAAACCAAACACAAACTACAGGTAAAAAAAAGGATGTTCACGAGGGCTTACAAACCATGCCCAAACTGCTCATGGGCACACACCAGGATTGATATTCGCTGCTCAAAACAAAGTCCACATCAACACACCTCTTCTCAGGCTCTCAACCCACAAACATTCCTGTGATGCTCAACAATGCCTTAGTGCCAATGAAACTGTATTACAGTGTAGGTAACCCGTTGTCCTGTTCTCCCTCAATCATCCGAAACCACCAAGCCACAGGCACTGGTTGTCTGTAGGATGCCTTTCCCAGAGGATGAGCCTGTAGTTTATAACATCACTGTTCAAACTAGAATCAGTATAGTATCAAGATACCCCGGGTAATTTTTAATGTCGCTATAGAAAATCCCTGAACTCCCAAAATTTATCAGGTGTCAAAAATATCAGCCATAAAATAAAAGTCAACTGTCTATACAGATGCTGGCCTCAAGATCTACTCAAGAACTGGACATGCCGCAGGTCAGGAACAGACAATGTGCACGTCTGCGCTTTAGGCAAACTGACCCACTCATTCCAACTCTGAATCTATGTCAGAAATCACAGAAGTCATCATTTGGAAACTACTTCTGTCAAAGGAAATCAGGTTTCTTGTCCCAGAGCCAACACGCTTAGCTCCCACATAGCAAAAATGTGCCTGTGTTTCTGTAACACGCCTACCGTACCTCAGACACCCCGGCACGCGGGGTCTCACGTGGGCTTCTCCACCTCTTGAGGACCACTCACACAT